CTCTGAAGGAGTTGATTGTTGCACCACTTTGACTATTGTAAGCTCTTATGAATGGCTTGTGTTCTTTGCCTAGCATTTTTATAACTCTGTGGTATGCTTATGTCACAGATAAAAGCTGATTATTAGCTGCTCTAAACTTTGGGTCTAACACGAAACTTTTTTCTTAAAGAGTATTAACTTCCGTCTCAGGCAATTCCCAGCCTAAAGAGATCTAATTCTGTGCTTGTCACATAGGCAAAGATTGCATAAAAAGTTAGAAATACTCTAAATTAGCACTGTAGGCAGAATACTGAACCATCTCCTGGCTCCTTTGTAGGTGATGGTGAATTCTTCAGTAATCTCTACCTCTGCTTGTATTAATACTGCTCCAGCTACAGTCTTCTCCTCCAACAATGCAGCAACTACTCAAGCCAATGTAACCACATCTGTTCCCCCACAGACAGCAGTGCAGCCAATCCTAGTATCTCCTTCTGCAGGAAGGCCAGGTTGAGTACTAGATACAGAGCTATTGACTTGAAATTTTGTATTATTGGTCTCCATCTCTCTCCTCTTTTCTCCCCCATCCAATGTAAACCATTCACGGCTCCTTCAGGCACTTCCATCAAATATGCATCACCTTTATTCAGAACGTTTCATTTAATCTATTTTCCTTTTTTGTGACTTGCATCAAATTTTGGAGAAGGAAGGTTGAAACCTTCACATCCCTATCTGTAGAACCGAATGTAGGTGATCCCTGAGGTTTCCAAGGAATCAGACTCTAGGAAAGGGGTCCTTGAAAAGTTGCTAATATAAAATGCTTCATGGGAAGCTGTAAAAGTCCTTTAGGAGGCAGAAATGGGTTTATCTGCCTCCTTCCCTCATGAGGGCCTCACCCGGGTCTCTAATAGGGATGGGCTTACTCCATAAAGTACTAGGCGTAAATCTACCTTCCAACTTCCAATGTGTATTGCTTACTATATGACACTAGTTTTTTTGTTTTTGTTTTTTGTATGTGTCTTGTAAATCTTAAGTTCTGGCCCTCTAATTTCAGCAGTGAGTTTTATACTGTTATGTGTTCTGTCACAAAATGCTTCCTTTTTATTGGGCCTGAGTTAAGATGGGGGAAGCAAAAGTATAACTGTTCTACCTCCTTTAGCTTCCAAGCTTTTGCCCTGTGCTCTGTACTTCACTTATCTTCCCTTAGTAATAACTTTGCTCTTTTGCTCCTTTGCTCACCCCTTCCAGCCATCTAACTGTTGTATTTATACTATGGTCCACTTAATCTGTGATAATTGAATATATAATTAGGCTGTTGGCTAGCCACTTGGTGGAGCTATTACAAATATATATTTTATTTAAAATACTTTTACTGTTTTGAAGTTTGTTGATGATTAATTTTAGGCACTAGACCCACCCCAAATCCTGCAGCCACTTTAATGGTTTTTGTGTCACTTTCCTGTTTTTCAAACGTTTCATCTGTTCCCCCTTGCTGTGGGAAATTGACTATGTAGGGAGACGGCACAAAAGGCCTTCAAATGTGGAAACAAACTGAAAAGCAAATATTATTAACTTGGTGTCTTTTCTTGTTTGTAATAAGAATAGGTAACAGTATTTTAAACCAAAGTTTTTGTTTTATTTTGTAATAAGGCTACCAGAGTAAAACAAAATGTTAGGATTAAAAAACAAGTGGGGAGAGGTGGGGAAGCAGGAATTCCCAGTTGCTAATGCAGAAAGACTCTTTTTAAAACCTTTGTAAGTCTCACTTACTTTGTTTTCTGTCTTTTTTTTTCTTTTCCCTCCAAGTAGTAACACTCTCTTCAGTGCCATACTCCTATCATCCAGCTCCACCTCCTCCAGTTAGTGAGGTGGGAGATGCTAGCAATGTTCCTCCACCTTACTCTTGTGATCCCAGTGGCAATGATCTACCTCGAGGTAAGAAAAATTAATCCTTTCATGTTGCATTTTTTTTTATTAACCTTGCTGCAGGACATGGCAAATATCTGTGGTGGGGAAATGTAGCTCTGCAGCTGATACTGAACAAAAGGCTGCCCATGTAACTTAGGGGGCAAGCATTTAATTTAATGATTTGGAAAAAGAAGT